TATATATATATATATATATTTTTTTTACAAAATGTGCAAAATGGGGGACTGTCAGTACACAGTGATGGTTACTTAAATGATTTTATATCATTCTTTATACAGTTGACTTAGTACAAGTTTTTGTAAAATATCAATTTTATGATTAATTTTTCTATGACATCACCAACAGTTTGGTGAACTTATTTTTTATGATTAATCAGAATTCAGCCTTTGTTTTTACATGTCCCTATAAGCATTTCTAATATTTTTAACAATTGTTAATTTAGTTTATTGTATGTATGTTTTTGCCATTATGGTGTGATAGATTTTGTACTATGTGTCAGAAAAGATATATTGAGTTGTGTCAAATTATTGAAGGATAGATGAGGATGACTCGATAGTACTATGAGAAACAAATTAGAAGAAAATGGAAAACTATGTTTTACAGTGGTGTTAAAAGCCAGGTGATGAAGCCAAAATATATTTTGTCAGGGAAAGCTGCGTATTTGTGTGAACAAATTTACAAACCATGCTTCAAGGGTTTGTCCACCTGTTGAAAAACCTGCAGAAACTAAAAAAAATAAATAAAAATACATAGACCTTTGAAGATACAAAAAACAATCCATACAACAGGCATATCTTGGATTGTGTATAAAGTGTATTCACTTTGATTTTATTTCTATTACATTTGTAGGAAGAAAAACAAGGTCGTGGAAGACCACAGAAGGCTGAACCACAAAAGGAGGTGAGCGAAGATGTACGTCAGTGGTAGTGACAAATGAATATAAGCAGAGATTTTTGTTAGAGAATGTGTCCTCCAGTTAGTTTCCTTTACAGTCTGAGTTATCACATTTTGATAAGCTTTTCAAATTAGTGTTATAGAAAAATATGTTACAGAATTGACATGAACAGATCAAAATACACGTAACTGTAGTTAGGCAGAATCTTCCATTATTTATAGATGAATAATTAATTATTTCCATGTGGGGTGAGTTGATGTGACTGAACTTGTAATCATCAGAGTTTTCATAATATAAATTTTAACATGGTACGTCTATCTTCACAAAATTTGGCAAGTTTTCAGTAAACGCTAAAAGTCTACCAAAAAATCAAATTTTTTAATTAAGATTTGCTTGTGAATATATGGAGTCAGTGTTAACTGCTGAGTTCAAAGTGATTTTCATGGTAATATCATAAATACTTCATCTGAATGAAGAGTTAAGCTTGATTTTTTTTTAGTGAATATAGACTAATAACATGCCAAAAGTAGACAAATTCACTTCTAAATTTACTTCTATATTTGATATAGAATACAGCCAAAGCCATTAATTTTCAGGTGCTAAGCTTTAATGCTATGCTGTATAAATTACAATAATGTTCAGATCAATTACTTGAAAATTGTAAGGTTGATTGCTTAAAAGAATAAAGAAGCAACCTCAAGACAAAATTTGTAAATATTTCCCAATTAATTAGAGACTTCAGATTTCTTATATTTTTATTATTTTCTTTTCATTTTAGATAATATTTTTGTGTTATATTTATTTGGAAACTGAAGAACTGTTGTTCTATGATAATATGATAGGTAAGGATATTGAGGTTTAGTTTCTATCATAGCTAAGGCTTGTGATACTGATCTTGCCGTATTGAGATATGAGGTCATTTTTATCATTAAACTTTTGTATACTATAACTGTATGGTTTACATCAGAAATACAACTGTTTTAAAAATTTTTGGTCTGTAGGGGTGTCACTGATATCCCTTCACTTTTTCATCTTTGTGAAAATACTTAATTATATTGAACTTGGTACAAACTTGCTAAGTAGTATATAGGGTCGAATTACCAAAATTCCTGTAGTTTAGTTTTCTATCATTCTATATGTTGTGAAATTTCCAAAATCTTTTTGTAGGACAGTTGTTTTTTTTTTGTTAATCATAAAAGTTCTTTTTCATATGACCAGTTAATTACAGTTTGATTATTTTTCATCGACATATTTCTTTTGTAACTTAATTTTCCAACTGCAGTAGTCTGGCTGCAAATTGTAAAAACACCCCATAAACTGAAAGATTTATCAGTGACCCAAGACCTGACTTTTCAAAATGATATCCGTTAAAACTTCTGAAGTGATTATATCATGCCAACATAAAGTATTAAGATGCTTATATAAAAAGACAGATTTTGATTATGTAGCATTAACTTGCAGCGTTCGAAATAACTGTAGTCCAGTTGCATGAGAAAACAAAAATGTCTCTTGGACAACCAGGATGTCCCATTAAGGTAAGGTGACTGGTTGAGCAACCTAATTTTGAAAGATAAATCAATCCTGATAGTGGGCTAAGCATGGCCAGATGGTTAGGGTGCTTGACTCACAACCTGAGGGTCATGGGTTCGATTCCCAGTCCCATCAAACATGCTTGCTGTTTCAGCCGTGGAGGTGTTATAAAGTGACAGTCAATCCCACGATTCATTGGTAAAAGAGTAGCCCAATAGTTAGCAGTGGGTGGTGATGACTAGCTGCCTTCCCTCTAGTCTTTCAATGCTAAATTAGGGATGGCTAGTGCAGTGAGCCCTCGTGTAGCTTTGCACAAAATTCAAAAATCAAACAAAAAAGTAAATCCTGATTTGTGTATCAGAACCATTGTATTGATCATAAGTTGCATGCCTATTTACTTTTTTTTAATGATTAATAATTTCTGTTGCTGATGAATGAAGTGTTTAATATTGATTTTAGTTTCTTGATCATCAGAGTATCTCTGATTCTTACATCTTGTTTATTGTTGGAACTATATGTACAGTACTACCTTATTATAATGCTACCATTGAGAGCCATGTTCACTCAAGAACAGTAAAGGTGGGGGATCATTGTAACAAACTAGTTAAGAAGGCACTTGTGCTGTACAAGCACGGATTCAACAGACTACTAAAGCAATCAATAAAAATAAAATAATTATATACATAGGGAAATAGATATAAGAAGAACATAGATGAGATAAAATATGAATACAAACTTTTCGATACTTCAGAAAGAAAACACGCTCATATTCACTTATTTACTTAAATAGTCTTATACAGTAGAACCTCTACATTAATAGCACTCTTCTGACCGAGTCCAAATGCTCTCTATAGCAAGGTGCCCTTAATATAAAAAATGAGCCAAGCAAAGCTGGATTCCGTATTCACTATACTCAATTTGTGAATTTAAGGCCCCCACCATTGGGTTTTCATGAGTTGTAAGTTGCCATGACATGGAGCATTGTCAATAGGAGGTCTCAGGGGATGGATTAGCTATGCCCTTTTTTTTTCTTTATTATTGGTCGTAAAGTTTTAAAGTACTTCTCTTCAGAGTTTGAACTACTAAACATTTCACAATTATTTTCTTATTTTACTGTCAACAACTGAAGTAGAAATCTTCTGAAAGTAAAGCAACAAATCACCACTTGTGCCATTATACTGTACTAAAATACTCTCGAGAGCAACAAAGCATGTGCACAGAAATAAGCCAACTTGACCCCTGCTCCAAGAACACAATGTGGAATTCATCAGCTTATGTATCCTACAGTGTTTACAATGAGAATTGCCCAGAGTAATAAGATTACACTTTGAATCTGTGAAAATGTTTATTACAGTATATGGTTCAGAGCTGATCCAATAAACATTACAAGTGTTTGAATATTGGTCAACCTTCTGGGATGTTTGGAATTTAGCAGTACACTGTATAGGCAGACAAAGATAACTGCCTGCTTTATCAAGTACCTGTATAGAGAATATCGAGGTGTCCATTATTGCAAAATTTATTTTATTTACAAATAGTAGAAGAAAGAAAGAAACTGAAAAGGTCTACCCTTAATGGTGCAATACCTGTTGTTTTGAGGTGCCTGTTAATCAAGGTTTTACTGTACTTTAGTCTGCTGCAATTAAAAACATGATATCTCTATTTTCTTCTGACACTGAGCAGTATCTTGGTTTCACCTGTAAACAATTCTTGGAACTTCTTGCCATCTCCACAGAGTTAAACAATTTCCTCTTGAATGATGTCATATATGACTATATAGATGGAATCCCTGCTGGCTCCAATGATAGCCAATAGTTTTCTGTGCTACCATGAATGCAGATGGCTAGGAAACTGCCCATGTGACTTCAAACCTGCCCTTTACAAATGCTACATTGATGACACTTTCATACTATTTCAACAATGAAGTTACATTTCCAGGTTCCTTTCTTACCTTAATTCCCAACATCCCAATATCAAGTTCAGATGTGAACTTGATATTCACATCTCTGGGCTTTGCACTTAGGACTTCCCATGTGTTTCTTTTTTATTATTATTATTATTTATTTTGTGACAGAGTGTGATGACTTCAGCCTCTGAAGCCATGTGGCTAAGCAGCAGATGATACTAAATTTTTGGGAGCCAAGGCACTACAGCTTTATCCAAGAAAGAATTATAACTGATGGTGTTATAATGAGGCAGTACTATATTATGGCAAAGTTTTTTTCATCTGTAATTATATACATTCATGATTTAGATTTTTGTAGGTCTTTGAAGAATTATCCCACATTAGACTTCAAATTATATTTTATAGTAGCTGGAATACCTGTCCCCTGTACAGAAGATATGTAAATTCATGTTTGTAAAGTTATCTTAGGACATGAAAAGTTTCTTCCCTTATGTGTAATTCTAAAAATGCAAAAACAGCCATAAAAACTGCAAAACACAAAATGTGAAACCACAAATTTGTATGTCTTTCCACATGGACCCAACAAACCTTCATGCCAAATTTGGGGAAGATCCATCAACAGAGGAGAAGTAATGGTAAAAAATGCCCATAAAAACTGCAAAATGCAAAACTGATGCATCTCCCCATGGACCCGAAAATACATTCATGCCAAATTTGGTGAATATCCATCAACAGGGAGCAAAGTAGTGGTAAAAAATGCACATCTGCAAAATGCAAAACTGAAAATTTGCTTGTATCTCCCCATGGACCCAATGAACCACCATACCAAATTCGGTGAAAGTCCATCCACAGGAGGTGAAGTAGTGTGAAAAAAAATGCCCATAAATACTGCAAAATGCAAAACTGAAAATTTTTATGTACCCATGCATGGACCTAATGAATCTCCATACCAATTTTGGTGAAGATCCATCCACAACCTACAAAGTAGGTACATGGACAGGCAACAGACAGTACTATATTTATATAGATGCTGCTCTAAACAATTCATTATTGATCTCGCATTAAGTCATCCATCTCTGTCCATTATCTTAAAATTCTAATTTTAAGGGTATACACACTGAAATTTGTGGACAATTTATTTTCAAGATATTTTTTATTTTATATTTCAACAAATAACTGTCTTTTCCCATAAATGGGAGACTAATGTAAAATGACAGTGTGGGCACATCATAACTCGCTTCATGAGGAGTGTACACTCCATTTAAAAACATTTTAAAATATCAAGTAATGCAAGATTAAAATCATTTTTTATTAAATTTTTTACTTTTCATTTTTATAAAGAAATAGTGTAAAAATTTTTTTATCCCTCATCACTTGATATAATTGTTTCTAGTGTAACTTCTCAGTGTGTGTGTGTTTTATTTTCTCAACTAATAGTATTGCTTTTTTGCCACAACTTCCGTCTTGCCAAATATAAACAAAATGATGAATCAGAGTACATTTTAGAACTGAATGACTAGCAAATAACTGAGAATTGTTTATTTCATTATATGTTAATAAACTAAAAATTTTCATCTAGTATTAGCAAAAGTACATGAATATGCATTAAAAGACAATACAAATATTCTTTAATTCTGGCATAATTTTAATGTATGTTTGTTAAGGAAACCAGAACTGTCTGCTTGGCAATTGGAAATTTGACTCTTTATTTGGAATGCTGACTTCCACAGAATACTTTGAGAAAATGCTTTAGTAAGATTATTAATTATAATAGTAATATTAACATTTATGATAAAAGAAATGTTTCCATAATTCAAATATATAGAATTCCATCTCCAATAACAACAAATGCCATACAGAGTATTATAAATTCGTAGTTTCTTGGACAAGATAATTAAAAATTGTTAATTTAGAAAGGGGAGTAGAGATTGTCAAAAAAGTACAGAAACAAGTTAAATCAAAATGCAAAGATTTATATTTTCAAGCCTACAACAGGGACTAAAATAAGTAAACAAACAAGGCTGGAAAGAGTGTATACATTATTTTCTTAAGTCACAAATCCCTATTTTGACTTCGTGTGTACAGTACTTATTATTTTCAGTTCGTGGTTCACGATATTTTAAAATTTGTAACAATATACTATTTTTAATATCTAATAAAAAATTTATTAGTAACGAAACTGATATTTAATTATCTTGATGAAAAACCTTCATCAAATATTTTAAATTATTTTATAACAAATATAAAAGGCATTAACATAAATTTCAAAATAATGACATAACTAAAATTATAATAAATACAAAAGAAAATAATTTCCAAGATTTAATGGAGGGGAAATAATTAGAATTACTTATTTAAATAATTTTATATCTTGTATAGATGGACTAATATAGTTGTTTTACCCTCCCTATGTAAGATTTGCCACTGTGTGGATCTCTTTAGAACCATTGAAGATCCAGACAGTAGGATGGTATCTATACCAACTGTAAAAGGTCAGGCTTAGTATAGTGGTAACTAACTAGCAGGCAGTTATTTTTATGAAAATTAGTTATTTCAGGAGAAATAATTAGTCATCGGGGTGCTCGAAGGTTGAACAATCTTCCTTCACCCCTGCATGAGGCTCAAGATTAGGAATTGGCAGTATAGTATTACCTTAACATCTTGGTATTTATGTTCAAACATCATATTGGGGGCTGGAATGTCAACTTCAAGGACAGTTTTTGCTGTCTACCTCATTAATGTACAGTATTATAATTATTATCTTTCTTACTCTTTTTTTTTGTGAGCAACTACATTCCCACTTCTGGTTGCAGACAGTGAAAAGCGGTAAAGAT